AGAGAGAGAGTTTTGTAAATGCAATTTAATTCTCAATCATTTCTATTTTATTTATGTTATCTGACGTTAATTATTGTTTTTTAATTATCACAAAATGTATTAATTAATTAAATGTGTTAATTTAATACAAATCGTAAATACCCCTCAATTATTGAGAGATCGGCCGACGATATACTGTCCATAGTTTTGAGAGCATCGGAAGGGTGTCCGCCAAATAGGACACCCTTTTGGGTCAATAATAACAACACTCGTCTCACTATATCTCCGATATAATGACCGCTAATATACTTTTCAAACCTGAATTCACATACAAAAAACATGTTAACAATTATATACCAAACACTTTGTACAGTATTAACCGTATATAACAAAGTTTATTTTAATTTTTAGTCTCTAATAACCGGTTATTACTATACTTTAAACGCTATATAAGTCATACGTGAAGGATCGGGGAAACAGCGACTCCCTGTCCAACTGGTCGTCTACCGGAGTGCGCACAAAGTCGAGGCACCCGTTGTCGCCGAACGCACCGCTCTCTATATTGATGGCCACTTCGCGCACATCGGCGTACACCGAGCCCTCCCGGTCCGCCCATTTGCCAATCCTGTCGGCCCTCTCGATATAACACGCGTTATGGCCGGTGCCCAAAATCATGGCCACCGCGCAGTCCCTGTCCAGGTATGCGCCCATAACCAGAGAACCGGTCGAGTCGTTCAATATGGCCACCACATCGACCGGCAGAGGGCCCGGCCGGCGGTCGATGGCCTCCTGGAGCAGTCGGGCGCAGTCGACCCGCACGGCGTCCGGACAGTCAAAGTTTTTGGTCCACGTCTCCAGAATACCCACGTTTAGGGCAGTCATTGTCATCGGGAACGAGAAGGTAAAGCCCAGAGCCAGCCGTTTCCCATACCCGGGCAACGACTCGGCCACGAAGTCGTCGATGCACTCGGCCAGGAATGTGAATAACTGTTCATGGTAATAATAAAGTTATAATGTAATAATAATGACAATGACAGTGGTAGTTGTTTTATGTCCATGTATAGTTTAGATTAATTGATTTGAAAATTATAAACGATGTTTTTTAATTGTTTTTATGAATTAATTATGACTGAATTAAAATTTTATGATTTGTTAACATGATTAATTTATTATAATTACTTTTATTGTTTTGTAAATAATTGTGTTAACACGTTATGAGTTTATAAAAATGAAAATAACTGACAAATTGAATTAGATTGTTTAATAAATTATAAATGTCTAATGCAGCGGTCTCTATTAGAGAAAATTAATAATGTCAAATAGTTTTTGCCATAATAATTTATATTTTTAGCCAACATAATAAGTAATATGTGGATTTGTCTAATTTAAAGTGATTATTTAGTATTCCTAATGCTATTCAAACTATTAATTGCAATAAAAAAATTAAATCCATAAATAAAAACATGAAAAATATTCGCAAAAACTACTATAAAAATGTTTTGAAATTCAGTCACGAAATTAACATTGCATTGAAAATAAAATCTTTACAATTATAATAACAAAATTTTAAAAATTCATAATTACATTATCGGACGAACCCCTGCGGCACTCGTTGGGAATGTCATAGTATTTTACAGTAAACTCATTGTCCACCCCTTTCTGTGAGCCACCAACCAGTTTGGACAGTATTACCCGTAAATTAGTAGTGCCCAAGTCTAGTGACAAATAGTAACCCGACTCGTTACCATCGGGAAACTCCGGTACAAACGTATTCTGCATGAGTAGAGATGATTTACTATCCGGAGCTAAGGCCAGGCCCGCCTCCATCTCATCAATAAACACCCGTTTAATGTTAAACAATGTGTCGGCAGTGAGCGTAAAGTCCCTGATCAATTTATTTATCTACACGGTACAAAAAATGTTTGATCAAATTGTATTCACAAATAATAAAAATAATTATAGTTAAGTATAATTGTGTTAACAGAATATTCTAAGAGATTCTGTACTTTACTTACAGTATGTGTTTTGTTTTGGTCGTCGATATCCAGAATGGGATTATGAAACACAGAGTTTGGTAACAGAATTGAAGAATCCATTGTTTTTATTGTATTGATTGTGTAGTTTTGCACAATAATTGAATTTTTCTCAAACGCAAAACTATGTATGTAATTAAATTGCTGTTATTCTAGTATTATTATCACTAGTATAAGTAATTGAGATGATAATTTAATTTATTTTGTAGTTATATATATGTAAATCTATTTCACTGAAAGTAATAAAACTAATAATAACTTTACGAAATATTATTAACTCTGTTAATATGAAATATTAACTAACAAAAAGTTATTCTATTAAAATATATAGTATTTATATGTTAACACAAAAGTTATTTAACAAAAAATTTATATCAAATGACACCAAACTTACATTAATTTCGCTTTTGTTATACTGTCTGCGAAAGTCATGTGAGAATCATTTAATAACATGTTTTGTTTTATTAACACATAATTAGTTTTAACAACAAGAAAAAGAAAAAGCACTTTTTCTAAAGTTTCATACATTGAATTACAATAAATCATTAATTATATAGTTGTGAAATAAATCATTAAGATGTTAATAAAGTACTAGTGCTAATGTGACGAGGTTTGGATTAAAATCTAATAAGTACAGTAATGTTAATCATAGAATATTATAATGTTACATTATTAATTGTATATAAAAATATTGTATATTTATTTATTTAAATATTTATTTAAAAATTGTTTAACCCAGATGGACTAAATAGAAAATAATAAAACATGTGTTTGTTTAATTACAGGGCAATGTTGGCGCTATGGGTAGTAAACTATTTTTAGTACATCTATCGCATATTTATTCAATAATGATTAATTAATTATTTTAGTTGTGGGTATTTCTTAATAAAATCTAAATATTGAAAATGATTAAATCATATTTCTATCAAGGTCGGCTTGGACATATTCTTCTTCAAAGTATATTATTAATTAAAATTAACTTTTTTATGAATTATTTGCCGTTTTAATGCTAAATATGACGTTAGTTATTAAAAAGTTATACATTTTGTAATGGATTTTATAATTTCATAATATATCTGCATTTAAAGATTAAAACATTTTTACATTTATTTTAATACAATAAGACAAACGTATAATTACAGTACAAACGTTTAAAAAATAATTTATTATTAACAAAATTAATTAA